GGTGTTGCTCCCGCGCCTCGCTCAGCCAGTGAGCGGGAGCCGGTCTGTATATGGGATCCGAACCCTCGGACGGGAGCGCCGCCGCGCTTCCCAAGCGGCGCACTATCCAGTGCGCCACCGGGCTGGCCCAACCCTTTTTGTCTTTTTTACTGACCGGCAACGGGATCGCAACCCTCGGTGTTGCGCCCACACCGCGCTCAGCCAGGGAGCAGGAACCGGTCTCCACATGGGATCCGAACCCTTGGCGGGAGCGCCGCCGCACTCCCAAGCGGCGCACTCTCCAGTGCGCCACCGGGCCGGCCCAAGAATTTTTAAATTCTTCACTTAAAGAGGTTGCAGGACAACTACCGACTTAAGAGAAAAACCTCAGGTTGATAACTGTGGAAGATAGAATTCTTATTTTTCTTTTACTGATTTTCCTTCATAATAAACGAAGGACCAACAAAACATGTTATGTCCTCATGCCAACTGTATTTCATAACTCCCTCAGCACCTCAGTCTCAGCATTTCTACATGGTTTTTCATGTCCATATCATCTACCTGGGCAGGATCTGAACATGATAGTGTTACTAGAAACTAATAACATTTTATCAGATGATACTATCTCTCAAGAAGTCCCTAGAGATGTCCCATGAAACTGGAGAACACCAATGTAGTAAATGTTATTGTAACATCTGTGGAGGACACTGAACATTAATAAAGCAAATGTATATTACAGGGCCTAACTTATAGCTTACTGGGGCTACAGCCCTGTAGTTTCAGCAAGGCCAAAGCCATGTAGTTTAAGGTATAGCCTAACTTTTTTTTTTTTTTGTCCTTTTGAGACCGGCCGCACCACGCTCAGCCAGTGAGCACCCCGGCCATCCCTATATAGGATCCGAACCCGCGGCGGGAGTGCTGCTACACTCCCAGCGCCGCACTCTCCCGAGTGCACCACGGGCTCGGCCCAACTTTTTAGAATTGCACATAGAAACTCTAATATTGGAAAAAACAGAAAACTTTCCCAGGCCTAAAGTCTCTGTTGTAGATTTTTAAAAAATTGTAACACAGCAAAATTGCTTGCTCTAAGGGCAATCGTCCTTGGTGTAGCTAAACCTAAAGATGGGGAAGTATGTGAGCAAAAGGCTTCAAGGTTGATGGCTGGGGGATGTTCCACATTTTGTCTTTGGTTGTTTCTTTAAATTTCTTGGGGAACTAAGTGTTGCTGTGACGATTATCTCATTGTTCTTTTTGTAACCACCTGTGTTCCTTTTCTGTAACTTTCTTGCCTGGACAATAAAAACTGGGAGAAAACCTAATTCGGGGTTATTCCTAGGAATTCTTATCTCTTGAAGGAATCCTTCCTGGGATTAACCCCTTCTGGGCCTCTCACTGCTTTGGGTAAATGGGCTTTGAGTAATCCTTTGTGTCTCTGTCACCCCGGGAAGAGGTGACATCAGACCAGCTATTGTATACATTAGAATAAATAGTTAATGAAGCAGGGACAGAAAAAAAAAAAGGATTTGATAAGTATTCACAGCTTTATATCCTCCAAAACATCCTACACCTTTTGGTGTGAGAATCAGAGAATTGCTTAAACTTCAAAATCAAAGAGACAGAGTAAAATCTGCATTAATTAACAAAATGAAAGGGAGGGCAGGAAAGGAGCAGGGGAAGAAAGTCCTTGCACGGGAGAATTTTGAAGGAGATGAGATATGGGGAAAGAAAATTCTAGTCCTGTGCTGTACAATGCAGTAGCCACTAACTGCATCCGGATATTAAGCATTTGAAACATGGCTAGTCTGAACTGAAATGTGCTGTAAGTGTAATATACACAAAGATTTTTAAAACTTAGCATGAAAAAAATGTGAAATAACACATTAATAATTTGTAATATTAATTAAATGGTGAAATGATAATATTTTAGACATATATTGGGTTAAATAAGACATATTGTTAAAATTAATTTTACCTGTTTCTTTTCTACTTTTTTTTTTTTGGTCTTTTTCCATGTCCAGCAGCGGATCGCAACCCTCAGTGTTGCCCCCGTACCGGACTGGGGACCGGCAACGGTATTGCAACCCTCGGTGTTGCTCCCGCGCCTCGCTCAGCCAGTGAGCGGGAACCGGTCTGTATGTGGGATCCGAACCCTCGGGTGGAGCGCCGCCGCGCTTCCCAAGCGGCACACTATCCAGTGCGCCACCGGGCCGGCCCTTTCTTTTCTACTTTTTAAAAAACGTGACTGCTGGGGGCAGGCCTGGTGGCGCACTGCTACAGTGCACCGCTTGGGAAGTGCGGCGGCGCTCCCGCCGAGGGTTCGGATCCCACATACAGACCAGTTCCCACTCACTGGCTGAGCGAGGTGCAGGGACAACACCGAGGGTTGCGATCCCGTTGCCGGTCCCGGTCCAGTACGGGCGCAACACTGAGGGTTGCGATCCGTTGCCGGACACAAAAAAAGACAAAAAAAAAAAAAAACGTGACTGCTAGAAAATTTCAAATTCTATATTAAAAACTCCTTTTGGACAGTGCACTTCTAGGGAACAGCTGGATCCAGGCTTTCGGAAGAGAGGCGGATAAAAAGAAAATCAGAATTACGCCAGGCTGTGTCAGCAGTGAAACCCCCCTTATGCTTCTCTGAGAAACTTTAAACAGTATTTGAATCGTTTTTCAATGTTTGGGGGATATTGGATTGTGGTTTCTTTCTAATGTTAATACTGGACCCAAGGTAGCCATTTTATGCCCAGGTAACTTAAGTACTGTATCTGAGATTATGAAACAAATTTCCATACTTTAATAATAACTAATTAACATTTTCTTAATACTTGATTTGCACAATATTTAGAAAGTACTTTCACATATACCATTTTACTTGATCTTCACACAGCCCTGTCCTCGGTACCTAGGTACTATTATCCCAATTCACAGAAAAACAAACTAAAACTCAGAAAGGACAGATGACTTGCCCAAGGTTGGACAGCTAGTGAGTGGCAGCACTGGAGTTAAAATGCATTTTTAATGATTCCAGATCCCATTCATTCGACAAACCAATTATGAGTGCCTACTGTGTGCCAGAGACTATGCCACGTGCTAAGGGTACAATGACAAATAAGATACAGAGTGTCCTTGCTCTTATGGAATTTATGTTCTACCACAGAATAATGGTAAACAAGCGATTACGATACAGAAGGTAAATTGGGAAGGGGCGTGGTGGCTGGTAAAGGATGTCTTGGACATATAGAGAAGGGGCACTAACCTCGAATGCAATTATGGGGCCAGGAAAAACTTCCATCAGAATTAAATTTAAGACTACTTAAAGCTTACATGGGAAGAGAAATGTTTCAAGCAAAGGAAACAGCACATGCAAAGGACCTGAGATGAGATCGTGGGATAGTCAAGGAATCAAAAGTTCAGTGTGGCTGGAAAAAAGGTATAAGAGAAGGAAAAGCAAGAAAGTGAACTGGAGTCCTGAGAAGTGGGCAAATGACACGTGACTTTGAAAACCATGCTAAGGAGTTTAAAGTTTTTCTAAGTGCTACAGTGTGATATTGAAGGGCTTTAAGTAGGGTGGTGACAAGATCAGACTTAAGTGAGGGCTCTATAATCATATATGGCAGAAAATGATATATGTTCAAAGTTGTTCAGTACAGCATTACTTGTAATAAAAATAGGCTAAAAACAAACTAAAGGTCCAACAACAGGAGA